AGCTCAAGGTAGGGATCAATGAAAAATGTTCCGCGCCAAAATAGAAATACAAGATGGCCAAAGGCGGAAAAAGTAAGTTTTATACAGTTCCGTTAAAAAGAAGGTGCGCACAGATAGAAAGGAGTACTCACTGTGGATATTTTAAGTTGTAAGTGATTATGCATATTTTTTTAATGTACAGGTTCAAAGTTATAAAGAATGTTGGTAAATATTGAATTGACCGCTGGTAAATGTTCTGGACTGCTGTGGGCATCTAGCCGAGGGAGAGACGAAGCATGGTCTTGTAGAATGGTTTACGGTGAGCCCAAAGAGAAAGACGAAAAATGTATTTTCGTTCAAAGGTAATATTGTCCCTGCCTGTATTATTTGGTTCGAAGCCAGGGGGTAAGTTTAAGTCACCTGTTGAACACGAAGTTTCTGCCGACGACAGTGTCGCGTGTCTAAAAAAAAAACGTCTTCTGGTAGAAAACGGAGAAAAGGTCCTGACCTGTGATTAGCTATTTGTTCGTTCAGTAGGACATCCCTGCCTATACTTATTAGGCCCCTGACGAGGGATAAAATACGCCATTAGTTGAAAACGAACTTTTGCTCACACGACAGTGTCGTGTGTCTCTAAAACGTCTTCTGGTAGAAAACGGAGAAAAAGGTCCGACCTGTTGGCAGCTTCAAAAGGAGAAAAAGTCTTGGTAGAGGGTGCAGTCGACATTGTAAAAAAAATAAGATATTCGCCCGCATATGGATTAAGGGCACGGAATAAATGAGTTGCCCATCCAGTCCGGTCGACAGCTAAGAGGCAACTGGATTGCAAACGTTAGCAGTTTTTGAAACGCCAAAAACGCGCGGGAAAAATTCAAAAAGTCTAATTTGCATAAGTAGAAGTAGCAGCTCGTCTTGACTGCTGACCAAAAACAGTTACTACTGTATTAGACTAAAAAGAGACAGAAAGGGGTGTCAAACGCGGCACACACGCACGAGTGTAAAACAAAAGGGAGGAAACTCACACACACGTAAAATTATAAATGGAATTAATGTTAATTATATATATATATATATATATATATATATATATATATATATATATATATATATATACTAGCAGCATGGCCTGGCGTTGCCCATGCTTGATTCAAAAATCGTACGACTCATACAGCAATCACTATCACTTGACTTAAAATATTTTTGCCCTCCCGTGCCTTTAAAGGAGTGCCTTTTGCAGTGCTGATGTTGCTACATGCCTTACTTTTTGCCTATCTCACTCTGCGAATTTTTCCTAAGCTCTATACTAAACATTAAATCTGTTATGAAAAAAGAACAAAAACAAAATGAACACAAAACGATCAGCTTTAAAAAAGGACTCGTAACTGGAAAAAACGAATGAAAAAAAGAATGTTAACAACAAATACTTTTTCACACCCAACCCAGTTCTGCAGAATCAGAATCAATGTTGAGTTTAAGCAAGCGAATGAGCCAATTAGAGTAAGGTGCCATGCAGATTTAAATTTTTCCCACTTGTGACGAATGCAGCTATCAATTTTTTTGCATGCTAGCATGGTAGTTAACATTCATGTCAATCAGTTGTTGGCTCTCACGCTGACCAATAGAATCTTCCTGCCTATTCATGGCAGCCAGGTATAGACTCACACTCTGGCCAGTAGAAAATGGCTGCAAACTACATGAAAACTACCGTAGAAGCATGAAAAAATCGATTATTTCCACTATCTATGGGAGTTGGGAAATGCAAAGTCGGTATTGGCCTTCCCGCTAACTTGAAGCATGAGAATGTAAATTTTGGTGCAAATCTGTCAAAAATTGCGGCCATGCACTCGTTACACACACATATCCTGCCTTTTATAGATATATATATATATATATATATAAAATATCGCACATTGAGTGCTGGTGTTAATAAAATAGTGCTTGATGTAAAATAACAGAGCTACAAATTATATATTAATAATAAATATACATTTATATATATATATTTTTTTTCCTCACCGATAACACAGCTATAGATGTCAACAGCAGGCAATTTAAGTTTTGTAAACATGTATTAGTGCATCCATAGCAGCAGAAGTGTTAAAATGGATCTTTATGTACAATCAAAACTCAGTGCAGAAAAAATATTTTTTAACCAATCTCTTTTCTGCTGGTTGTGGGATATGAATATAAAAATTCAGCCCTCACCAATCTCCATGAACAACTCAAACACCTACATCACTGCCAGACTCTTTCATTCAATTTTTATCAACTTATAATTCCCATACATATTACTTTGATTAATGCATAAAATCAACTCCAGTTGATTTGTTGTCACAATGACCCAATCAAATAGTTCTCAACACATTTTTAAATATTGGTAATAAAATTTTGTGTGGACTTATACAATAGGCACTTCAACCAGAAATAATCATTTTTTTAATTCCTTTTTTTCAAATAGATTAAGTACTCCAGACTATGTATATAAAAAAAAACTTTTATTAAGTTTTATAAAAGTTAATAGGGAGGCAGGGACTATGTGAATTCATTGTAAATTGATCTCTTTACAAAAACAAAATATGCTCATGTCATATGATTTCTTAAAATAAAAGAAATTTTTTTTAAATTTTGAAATTTGTAATCTGGATTTTTTTTTTTATTATTCTTTATTTTTTTAATCAATTCACTCCAAGCAAGGCAATAATAACACTAAGATGACAAGGGTCTACTAGGTGTGAAAGAAAATGAAAAAACTTTAGAAGGAACCCGATCCTAAACAGGGAACAAGAGATAAACCTCTACTCCTGTTCAAAAATCCAGGCAGGAGTATATATAAACAATCGGCAAACCTATCTACTCCTACTGAGAAGAAGAAAAAAAAGTAAATAAATAATTAGTAAATAAAATTTCAGAGTCCAGGTGGAGGCGTCAGACAGAGTTGAAATAGGCTTTAAAAGCAACTGGAAACCCAATATCATTAAGCACTCCAGATTACAAAATTAAAAGTTATATAAAGAAATCACATGTTACAAGAATATTTTGTTTTGGTTTCCATAAGAGGATCAGTTTACAATGAATTTAGATAACATTTTGGTCCCTCTATCAACTTTTACAAAATTAAATTTAAAAAAAAATGTTTTTGATATTCATGACCTGAAGTACTTATAGTAAAATGAAAAAAATTATTATTTCTGATTGCAGTGTCTATTGTACAACTCTACTGAAATTTGTTAGAACTTTTACTTTTCCATCAAGTATGCATTTGTAACATTACTATAATTATACTATATCACTATAATTATTTTTGTGATGTCAACAAACACTCGTTGCCATTTTTGTAATACAACAAATACTCGTTGTCACTTTCTTAATGCTTGTTGTAGTAGAGACTTTGTAATTGCAGATACAACTATAGAAATGCCGTTGAACAATGCTGGTGTCAGATGCCTTCGAAATAACACTCGTACTAATATTACTTGCTCAATAATACTCACTCAAAAAGTAACCACCAAATAGTAATCTGTATAGTGATCAGTATAGAGAAATAGTATAGTGGATAGAGAAAAGAATAGCAATCCGTATAGTAATAGAAGATAGAATAAAAATGGTGATCAATTAGTCACCACACTAATTCCCATATACTGATTTTCCAAGTGTAGCTTAGATGTGGCACAAGGCCAAAAGTATGGGACACAAAGTGAGGATCGAACTCACTACTCAGTCGTAATTGTTCTAGCGTGACAAGCTTGCTAACCATTACATCACATCGAGGTACCCATTTTCCAAGCGTAGCTTAGATGCGGCACAAGACTGAAAGTATGGGGCACCCAGTGAGAATCAAACTCACTACTCAGTCATAATTGATCTAGCAAGACAAGCTTGCTAACCATTACACCACCTTGAAGTGCCCCGCTAATTCCCATATATACATTTCCTTTACCATCACGTGATCTACTTATTCAAAATGGGATCGCCTGTGTTTGCTCTCTGGTGATCTGTGTTCAAACTCCAGTGTTGGTAGTGGCACTTTATTCCTATATAACAATTGGTAGCTTCATAACTCTTATAGATTAACCCCATAGATGAACATAGTTTACAGTATCTTCTTTCTTAAAAATTTGGTAAAGAACACATTTCTTGAAAAACCATTCTTTCATGTGAAATCAGATAGTTACATAACACAGTCAAAATTTAAAACTTTATATAAATTAGTTATCAAAATAGGGGGTGTGTGGCTGTATGGCTAAAGTGTTAGCATTCTGACCATAAGGCTCTAGTTCAATTCTTTACATGAGCAAGGAGGTGATTTCTTGATAATATTCTCCTGGGGAGACACTCACTGCATGTAGTAGTGTTGTAAAGTGCCTGAAAATCATACAACAGGTTTTTTTTGGTTTTTTTTAAGCAATTCACCCCAAGCAAGGCAGGAGTGCCACTTGTACACAAGGGGTTACAAAGAGTGTAAATAAAGGAAAAGAAACTTTGCGAGTGAAATAGGGTAGACAAAACTATTCAGAAGCCATAGATGGTTGGGCTAGTATGTAGTCACAAGTCCTTAATTATTGGGCAGATAGAAGTAATTTAGCCTCAGTTGGAAAACTATCCAGGGATGGTGTCTTGATATAAACATCCATTCCCCAGCAGCCTGGTTACTTGCACTTATATCAGCCTGAAAAAGACTGTAATTCTTAAAAAGATATGTTACGTGAGTACAGTCTGATGCATAGGGAAATGCTGTAACATTATCAAAATATTTAATAAAAAGATTTTAAATATTAATATAAAATGAACTTGTAGCAAAAAAAAAAAAATATCATAAGGGTTTATATTTTATATCAGGATTTGTGCTAATCTGATATAAGAGGCCCAATGAAGAGGATTATTTAAATTTTAAACTATTTCAACAGTAATTACTATAAAAATTTTTTTTATGTATTTACAATTTATAGGACATTAGAAACAAGAACATTAATGATAAGGTTACAGTTTTTTTTTTACACAATTATTTTATCTGACATGCTTACTTTTTTCCATGCAGCATTTACTATTGCTGCTCTTCTTCTACGTCGGGCTGTATGAACCTGGAAAAAAGATTTGAATCCAAACAATCATTTCAAACAAAATTTTGCAGAGAAGGAAAGGAAGAAAACTGTAAACTATATAACATTTATTAAGAAAGAATCTGTAAACATATATTTTATTACTAAAATATTTACAAAGCTTAGCTTGGATGCACAAGTAACATAATATTTATCAGGTAGCACAGTGGCATAATGGATAGTGGCTTGAATTGACGAATCAGAGAGCTGAGTTCAAATTTCAGTCAAATCTGTTACATTCACTTACGTTCTAATACCCTTGGGAAAGGTATGAATCCTCTTCTTCTCCCCCCAGCTATTGGTAAATAGCAGGAAAGACTGGGTTCTATAGCCTTGGATGGCAACTGGTCTACCGCAGAAAGAAATGGCAACCTACTACAGGAAAAAATCTGCCTCGTCAATCATGTATCAAAAAATATATGATTGCCTAAGCATGCATCACACATGGCACATAACTGACTGACTGAGAAAATGAAATCAACAAGCCATGTATGAAAATATTATTCCCTACCAAATCCAAATTCTTGTGCCAGACACAAAAACTTAGTCTCGTAGGAATAGTAAAACATAATAGGTGCAAAATTACAAAACAAGACAACCACCACATAAAATTTCAAAAAGAAAAACACATTTATTTACACAATTATGGAAAAAGGTACAAATACAAAGTTTGCACAAAAATTTCCTTTTGTGCACTTATTAAGGCAGGATAACAATTTCAGATAGAAAGGATTACCATTGAAAAATGGAAAGAAATTACAATTTGGGAAAAGACAAGGATTTTGAAAATGACAAAAAGAGAAAACAATACAAAAAGACAGTAAAAAACAAAGGCACAACAATCCTTGAGAAAAAAATGATGAAAAGACCTATTTTCACTTGACCCATGAGAATCTCTGGGACATCGTAATGTTAAAAAAAGTCCCTTTTAAATTCACAATTTATGCTTGGGAAAATTTCTTAGGATTCTTTTCATACTTAGCTGCCCAATCACAAGAGAATTTTCACTTGAAATTCAAAATTCTTTAGTCTCTCTGTGGCTGGCTACTAACTGGTGCCTTCTTTGATGTTCTCTTCTTGATGTCAAATGCCTCCTTTGATGTTAACCTACCTTGTCCCCTTGCTGTCAAAAAGTCTTCTCCTTGTATCTGTTGAACTGTGCTCTATTTATTCAGAAAATTAGGCACACAAAGGCCCCACTATTTGGGATGTTACTAGAGCTTGAAACCATGTCTCTCATTGGTCAGTAAATATGAAAAAATAATTTTCCATAAACTGGAAATGGATTCTTCGTAAATTTTGGTGGTATTTAACTGCTGAGCCAAAAAAGATATACAATTGTAACAATTTTTACACAAACTGTCAGCCTTTCATAAAAATATGCTTCTCTCAAAAGAACATGTATTAAAAAAAAACAACCCAGATGATTATATATTTATTCAAGGGGAACATTTTTCAACTATTAAAAATAAATTTTTATACATGTTCAAACTTCAGTCAAATCTGTTGCATTCACTTTGCCCTAATATCCTCAAAAAAGTCATGAATTCATTTCAGCTATGATTTAAATAGTAGGTTTTACTGGGCTCTCTAAACTTACTCAACCAGGCTAGAAGGAAAAATGTCTAATGGCCATTTTAAGAAGTGCCTATGACTCTAAAAGACTCTAAAAAGACTCATGTAGTACTATGACCAATCAAACTGTTTTTTGACTGGGAAAAATATTTAAACAATTAGTCTGATCTGCAAATTAGCTTTAATTAGCATTACTTTTCTATTACTCTTTTATTACTTTTTAGTCATAGTTTCTATTACTATGACCAATCTTTTATTAACTCTTTTTACTTTTCTATTACTCTTTACTTTTTTTTTTGACTGAGAACAACTTACCAGCAAGAAACTCTTTTACTTTTTCTATTACTCTTTTCTATTACTCAACTTTCTTTTTTCTATTACTCTTTTATATTCATAAAAATCAACTATTACTCATCAGCAGTGTCTGATCTGCAAATTAGCTTTAATTACTCTTTTATTACTTTTCTATTACTCTTTTATTACTTTTCTATTACTTTTCTATTACTCTTTTATTACTTTTCTATTACTCTTTTATTACTTTTCTATTACTTTTCTATTACTCTTTTATTACTTTTCTATTACTCTTTTATTACTTTTCTATTACTCTTTTATTACTTTTCTATTACTTTTCTATTACTCTTTTATTACTTTTCTATTACTCTTTTATTACTCTTTTATTACTTTTCTATTACTTTTCTATTACTCTTCTATTACTTTTATTACTTTTTCTATTACTCTTTTTTATTACTTTTTTATTACTTTTATTTTTTCTATTACTCTTTTATTACTTTTCTTTTATTACTTTTTTATTACTCTTTTATTACTTTTTTTCTTTTATTACTTTTCTATTACTTTTTTATTTTTCTATTACTTTTCTTCTTTATTTTTATTACTCTTCTATTACTTTTCTATTACTCTTTTATTACTTTCTATTACTCTTTTATTACTTTTCTATTACTCTTCTATTACTTTTCTATTACTCTTTTATTACTCTTTTATTACTTTTCTATTACTCTTTTATTACTTTTCTATTGCTCTTTTATTATTTTTCTATTATTCTTCTATTACTCTTCTGTACCTACAAAAATCTAAATAACTTTCTCACCTCTGTTGGAGCAACCTCATTCCATAGCAAATGTTTATTTTGGTAATAAACACACATGTTATTTATTAATTTAATATGGCCTTCATTATTGCCTTCTTTTACAAACCACTGATAACACCTCATAAATAGCAAAGGTAACTACGAAAAAACTACAAGCACAATTTCTGTCTGTATTTCAGGGACAAGAAGATATCATTATTTACATTTGAACTCATCTTCGTTGTTATCAACATTTTTCAGTCATTGCATCTTTCAGCCTTCTTCAGCTGTCTGTCAACTTATCTTCAGAGAATATTGAACTGAACTCTTTATTTAACCTAAGATTATTCTTGTTCTACTGTTTATCTTCAGGGATATCTTGTCTTGTTCTCTATTTAGTAGTGCTCAATTATTGCTAGCTCTGTTACCACTGTGTCTAAATCTGTACTACCTGGTCCAGAGATTGAACTCACAATTACTATACCACCAAATTCAAAAACCAATGCCTTTGTCCACTAGGCTATTGTCCTATGGGACAATCCTGAATCTCGAACTTGGAGCCTTAAACCTAATGTTCTTCTATACTAGGCATCATGTTGCAAAACCAGTTCCTGTACAATCACCAAAGTTAAGCAATATCAAGGCTGGTCAGTACATAGATGGGTGACCACTTGGGAATGCCAGGTGCTCTAAGTTTGGATGTGGAGGTGGTGTAATGGATAATGGCTCAGAATTGGTAATTGGAAAACTGAGTTCCAATTCTCATTGGGTTTGTTATATTCACTTACACACAACTAGCCTGGGAGAAAGGTAGGAATCTACCTCTTCCCCCCAGCTATGGGTTAATTAGTAAGATTTGTATCACTAAACCAATATCTCAAAAAACAAAATTTCTTACAATCTAAAAATATTTTCTAGTTTTAAATAACCTGCAAAAGGTTGATAATCCATAAAGATGAATCAATCAATCTTCTATCTTGTTTGCTACTGTTATGATTGACTGTATTCATTTCTGCTTCTCTTATCTTACTGCTGCTGAAGCTTTGCTGTCATTTCCTTTATTTATCAGTAATTTATATAGTATTTACAAGTACAAGACCACAATTATGGGGCACCCAGGGGAGATTAAACTCACTACTTGTACTTAGGATCATAAAGAGATGGTTACAATTAATGGAACACATAAGGAAAGAAAGCTTGGAGAATTTGAAACTTACAGAACATGTTAAAGACTAGAGGGGCAGAGGAGAAACATCAAGTAACCTAGATAACAACTTGTGTAAATGAATTGCAGAACAAGGGTTTAGAAATGGGAGGAACATTGTTCAGAGTTACAAAGGATAGGAAGTTGTGGAGATCCCTGCTCACCAACGTCCTGAAAGGACATTGCACCTGAAAAAAGAAAGAAAAAAATTGCTGCTAAAAAGCATACGGGAATCACTATAAAGAAAGACAAATGGTTTGTGAATTTGGTGACATAGCAATTGTGAGTTCAATCTTTGGGCTGGGTAGTGTACTTTGGACTCAGTAGAAATGAGGTGAGTAATAACTGAGAAGTACTAAAATAAGAACTAGACATCCCTAAACATGGGCGGGGCAATAAGAACGCTATAATCCCATAGATTAAATAAAGGGTTAAGTTAGACATACACTTGATGAAAGCCAGAGTGCACAAAAAAAAAAACACTGTGATAACGAGAAAGATGAGTACAATAGTCTGCATGTAAATAGTGTAAATAATGACAAAAAAAAAACAGCCAATTTGAATGAGTTTACGTTTTTCTCTTAAAAAATTAAAAGAGTATTTACCTCCAATGGTAAAATTTCTCCAGATGTACGAACTGCATTTGTTAAATGTGGACCAGGGGGTTTCCATGGTTCATAAGCACGACTTACTGTGGTGGAAGGTCTTCTAAACATGTAAGGTTTGACTTTTCGAGCATTTATCCACTTTAAGAAGTCTATGTACATTAAATTACCATATTCATTAACTGGCAGCAAAGACCAAAACTTGAGGAACTGAAAGAGAAAATATGAAAAATTAAGATTAAGGAATGAAAAATAAATGTCTTTATCCTTTATAAAGGCATTAGTTAGATCCAGTGACAGGACCCAAGGAGTGTGAATTCAATACCCGGCAAAGGCAATGGAGAACTTTCAGAGGGAAATTAACAGGAGATAACTGATAACTGACATCCATTAAAACATGGCACATGGAACTAGAACAGTCTATGCCAGTGAGCAAAATAAAGGGTTCAGTTTGACATTCCAACCACCTGACGAAGACAGGAGCGTACAACAGTCGAAACGTTGTAATAAATATGGCGACAAAGATGAGGACAATAGTCTGAATAATTTAAATAATGTTTTCCCTTCTGTTTATAAATATATGTTGCAAAATAAAATCCTTACATTTGCCTTGATAAAGTCCATCAGAGGACATGTTCTAAAGAATAGTTTTCCTTTCCTTTATTTTTACTGTATTTTTATATACTGATATATTTTTTATTTATATCTGAATTATTCATTTCTTTTGAAAGACAGTAACATTATTCATTACAAGTTTTAGATAAAATGGGCAAATAAAATTTGTTGAAATAGTTCTGTAATATATGTCAAATAAAAGATACAATTAAAAAGAAAAAAATAATCTTCTTTTGATAATTTTAACTTTGTGCTTCTCATTGTAAAGAATAAAACTTACTGTTGCTTGGTCCATATCAATTCCAAATTTTTTCAAAATATTTTGGAATGTTTCTTGCGAAATTGTATTCAGAAATGCAAAATCTGCTTCCTTGCAGGCCACAAGGAAATCATTACTGTAGGTTGAAATAATTTTTTCAATTTCTTTTAGGTACTTTGAACTTAAGTGACCTTCATCGTCAACCGATTGCGATGGAAATGTCTAAAAGGAAAAATAATTATAAAATTTATTACAATGTCTTTCAATGTAAAAATAAAATAAAAACTTTAAATTGGTCAAATGAATGTACCTAAGCCATTTAACAGATTAAAACATCACATTTCAGTGCTTAATTCCTTCTATTTTTTTTTAACACTTTCATGGCTTCATTTTTATAGCATTGCTGCCTGGCTGTGCTGGCCTATTGTAGGAAAGAAAGGAAATGAACAATTACTGGAAATAAATGATGATAGGGATGCTGACTGTAATTTCACATGTTTGTGAGTGGTACTATGCAGTACAGATTATGTTAAATGATACCACAATGCACAACATAATAAAAATATGAGATCTGTCTGAAAAGTAACGGGATTGTTTATATTCTTTGATGTGAGAGGCATCATCCACAGTGAGTCCTTGCCACAGATCAATCAGCTAGTCTACAAAGAGATCATGCGGTGTTTGCTTCACTCAGTGTGTGAAAAGAGATGAGAGTTGTGGCAGGACAAATCATAGCTGCTTCACCATGACAATGCACCTGATCATAACACCCTGAACACTTGGCAGGTGCTGGCTGAGAAAAATATTGCCATACTGGAATAACCTCCTTACTTTCCTGATATTGCTCCATGTGACGTTTCTTTTCCCCAAGCTGAAGAGGATCATCAATCTGTTTTAAAGGTGTGGAGGCCATCAAGAGAGTTCAACATGAATCTTTCCAGCAGTGCATAGAAGCGTGGCAGAGTAGGATGGAAAAGTGCATTAGACTCAAGGGGGGTTACTTTAAAGGGAAAACCATGTAGTTTGGTGTTTGGAATTGAAATAAATTGTTTGTGACACCAGTCCTGTTACTTTTCAGACAGACCTTGTACGTCACATAACAGGTTTTATTGTACTACTACATACCTAACTGGTTTATAACTATCACTAAGCACTAGTCAGTTTATAACATCAACAGTAAGCCATGAAAGATATGTATATATGCCAACAGCAGTGGAAGTGTTAATAAACTTTAAAAATTGATTTCTAAAAGTCAGCTATATTTTTTTTTGTTTACTTCTGCAGGTTCCCTGTGGAATATTGAGCCACAACTACATCAAGCAATGATGCTATGGTGTCGGTAGAAGATCAAATTTTATGTGCCCAGTTGCAATACCTAAGATGGGTTGACTTCTAAGCTATTTACAGTAAAAAAATGTACTCAGCATTGAAGTCAGAGCATTTATAGATAGAGACAGTGTGGACATAGGAATCAACACTGTATGGGGAACATCAATTTCATATCTCAGTGCAACTTGGTTTGAAGATTACTGTTAAAGGAATCAGGTAACTGAATGTGTTTTTTACACTAGAGAAAAACTACTAGATTAAATTGAGCTAATTGGGCTGAACCCATCTGAACCAACGGGGGAGACAGGATAAACCAACAAAGAATTAGTTTTTATAACCAGGAGGATGTAAGTTCAATCTCTATGCTGGGTACCAAATATTGTCTATCGCATAGAACTTAACATGAATTTCACACCTCAATTCAACTTGGTTTAAAGATCACATTAAGGCATGAGATTGACAGTCACTATCAATTTCTATGTCCCCACTATCTATATCTATAGCTATATATAGACGTGTGTGTGTGTGTGTGTGTGTGTGAGAGATATGGCACAGGGTAGTGTAACAGTTATAGTAAAAAAATTAATAAAATAATAATTAAAGACCCATCTTTGAATTTCATCTGCTGACATTCACTTTGTAATGATGCCTTTGGGGAGAAATGAGTCTATTTCTCTGCCTCATCTTGACAAAATCCCTTGTCACTGGCATACCACAACAGTTGTGGGAAAAGAGAATGAGTGAATACTTTGGTGAGACACTCTCACATAAATATTTAGTACATTTGACTAGCAGTAATCAGTATAGATGATATCTGTTCAGAATGTATCCAATCATTTTGAATATCTTGAGAACATATTGTATGGCCTTGATGTAACTTGGCAATTAACTAGAGGGGACTTTACTACATATGTGAACAGATACTCTCCCATGGAAGGTATGCAGTTGGCAGTGAGATGACATTCAGTGAGTTTGTGTTTTGTATGACTATTAAGTTCACAATGACTCTGCAAGTAGACTTCTCACATCTTATGCAGGGTTTTTTTTGAGCAAAACATGGCATCACTTAGGATTTGTCAGCACCTACCTCCAAATTCAGGTTTGGCTCTTTGAGACTTCTGAATTTACCCAAAGCTAAAAGCCCAATTGAAACACTGGACTTAAAAAGCTAAGATCTATAGATCTTAAAAGCTGAATTTAAAAAGAATGTGACAAGGAATCTCATGCAGAAACCTGAAAGAAGGAAGACTTTACAGATTGTTTGGAAAAGTGGATGGGACACCGAGATGAGTGGATGAAGTTTCAAGGTGAGTAATTTGAAGAGGGCTAAGACATCATTGCCCTGGATACTTTCCAGTCATAATTGTAATATATATATAAATGTCATGGGATAGATGTCTATCAATTCTGCAGGTGGTCAGAAGACCTCAGGAAAGAGGATGAGCCATGCCATCTTGAGAGTTGTCTACAGCTCCTTAATGTTTTTAGGTGCAGGACCTTGCATGCAAATAGACCTTTCCACCATAAAATTTCTTTTAATTGGTATCACCCCAAGCAAGGTAGTACAGCAACTAAAATGCAAGGGGTTACAGAGTGTAGAAGAATTAGAAATAGAAACATTAGTAATGAGCAGAAAGAGAAAAGAGTAATCATGAGGACAGTAAATAGTGATTGACATTGCATTTAAATTTTTGCAGATTAAAGTTGGCTGGAAAGCATGGAGCTGGAAGGGAGTCCCACAAGTGAGAAGTACAAGAAAAGAAACTGTTAGCATAGAACTTATGGCTACATCTAACCAGTTCAACTGTAAATTGATGAGGTCTCAATGTCAGTCTAGTACTTCACTTAAATTCATAAAGTCTAGGTACCATAATGAAGAGATCACCTGAACAATTAACATGAAAGTATTTATAGAAAAGGCACAGATAGGCAAACTTATGGCAGTTGGCAAGTGACTGAAGTCAAGCGGCCAAATCAGAACCAATAATATTACTGATTCTTCTATAGATCTTATCAAGGAGCTCCAGCTAAATAACAGGGACACTAGACCATATATGGCAGCAATATTGTACACATGGATGAATGGTAGACTTACAGTTATGTATGATAGATTTTGGAGAGAAAAAGTTTCTTGTACAACACAATGAACTAACTTTCTTAACAACTGACCTAGCAATAGATTCAATATAGTCTTTCCACTTCATGTCAGCTGAGAACATTAGCTTGAGAAAGTACAATGAGTCACTTTCCTGTTGTTTAGCATCAGCCATGTTGATGGAAGGTAAAAAGAGTTCTCTCAGACAAGTAAAAGAGAGCAGTTTTGGAGGCATTTGAAATTGATAAGCCATCTTTTGCCTCAGTTAATGATGGTCATTTGTACATCAGCTGTCATTTTGACCTTGTCGGACTGATCTACCTTACTATTGAGGCAGGATTAAATAGGAGTGTTATCAGAGTAGATGCCAAGTTGAGAGCTGATATCATCAGAAAAATTAAAAATAGCATAGGATCAAGGATGGAGTCATGGAGGACACCTGCATTAGTACGAAAGGATCTAGATGAGTTGCCATTCAGGATAACTTTCATTTCATGATTTGATAGAAAGACTGGATCAGCTCAAAAATATGTCAAGAGACACCATAACTTTTCAGCTTATGGAGAAGACCTGAATGCCAAACTTTGTCAAAAAGGTTTTCGAGATGTCCAATGCAACAACTCAGCTCCACCATTTTTATCTAGAGTATGACAGACTCTTTCCACAATTATCGTCAATACATCAGCAATTGACCTGGAGAAATGAAAGCTGTATTGCTTGTCTGAGAAAAGGCCCTGTGATGAGAAATGATGAGCCAATTCACCATTCATTAGGACCATGAGGAGTTTCCCAAAAAGAGGTAGAAGGCTAATCAGCTGATAGTTGGATGGGTCAGATAGTTCACCAGAGTTCTTAAAATCTTGAACAACAGATGATGACTTCCAACAGGCAGGAAAGCAGGGGGCATCAAGGCATTTATTATACAGTTTAGAGAGAACAAGAGCCAGTTTGGGAGCACACTTCTTAATGACTATTACAGGGATACCATCAGGTCCACATTCTTTGTGGGAGGTCAAGATTAAAGATGATAGCAGAAAACATGGAAGGGGTTATATACATATCACTCAACAGAGATTCAGTTCTAAGTGGGAAGTTAGGCAGGGATACTCCAGATGAGTCAAGAGTAGAGTTTGAGAAGGATTTATAGGTAAAGCATTCAGCTTTATCAGCAGAGGATGATAACACAAATTGGTTGAAGAGATGGGGAATAGAGACCTCATACTTATTTAATACCCTATTACAGAGCCGCCAGTAATCATGAGAGCCAAAGTTGTTAGAGGCTATGTAGTGCCTTATTTTTGTGGCAAATAAGGACCTATCTCTTTTATTATGAGAAGTAACAAGTAAGTTCCTGTGGGCATGCTGGTGTGAACCTTAGAGAGGATTGATGTTTAACCTGGTATTTCCAAGAAGGGATGAAAGCATCCATGCTGACCCTGACCTAAGAAGAAAGCTCAGTGGTGCAATTTTCAATTGGGTGTTCAGTTCAGGAGGCATCACAAAAAAAATCAAGGAATAAGTCCCAATCAGCATGCTGGTAATGGAAAGACATTTTATGGATAGTGGGTTCCTGTTTAATGTATGCTTGAAAGGAATTATTAATAGTTACCACAGAGTTGTCCGAGTTACAAGAGGGCAGTATTGTGAACCTTGGCAAGAGCAAGAAGAGGAGGTAAGAAATAAATCAAGTAGAGAAGCCTGTTGTTTGGTTTGGCTAATGAAATGAGTAGGGAAGTCCATGATTTGAGTAAGGAATTGGGCAATGAAAAAATTTAATGTCTGAACACCGGCAACATCAGTACCTTTAGAATGTTTCAGCCACAGTGAGCATTAAAGTCACTGTAGACAAAGTTGTTTGCAGATGGATGGAAAGAAAGTACTTTTTCTATACTGTCAGTTATTGCAGCTAACATACTGCAGTCCTGAGAAGAGGGGGAGTGATAAAGGAAAAAGAGATAGCTAACAAAGTTTAGTAATGAAAGACAGAAGCATGTGCAAGAGAAGTCAGTGGTGTCGGAAGACAATTCTCTGACCATCAGAAGATTATCCTGGATGTAAACACCAAGGCCATGCTGGTGAATGCAGGAATCTTTTTGGCAAAGGAAGAGATAGCCTGGAACCAAGAATTCATTGCTAGCAATGGAAGAATTCAAGTTGGTTTCACAAAGGGCAAAGATATCTGGTGACCATTCCAGGAGAAAAGATTCTACACTGCAGAAGTTGGAACAGATACCACGAATATTGGAGAAAGAAAGGTTGAAGTGTGTGTGTGTGTGTGTGAGGGGCGGTTGTTTGCTGGTTTTGTTGTATTTCTTTTTGTTGTGATTTCCTTGAGATACATTTTGACGAGAGAGAAAAAAAAAACGCCATAATTGTCACTATCTGTTGTTAATGGCAATACAAAGCAACCAGTGCATGGCTGAGAACAGGGCATAATGTGGCCTCAGGATTGCCCACTAGAAATACATGCAGGGACAACTAACCATGCATGACATGGCACTACAGATACCACAATATTATGTGACTATTGATCGGAGCAGCCTCTTGTTACCAAAGAGTTCAGACACCTAACCACCAGTCAGAATCAGCAACCAGCAAATTGCCAACCAGGTACCCTAACAATTGAAAGTCACAGCCGCAGGTTAGTCTGATCACCAAAAAGTAAAGACAGTTAAATTATTGTGGTCCTGGTCGAAGAAAGACAGAAAACCGGTAAAACATATCCTGATCAGGGAACAAGGGACTCCTGTTCAATAGACATGGAAGGAGTGTGTATCTACTCCTATTAATCTCTAAAAAAAAAAAAAAAATAAAGTTAAAAAATTAAAGCACATAAAATACGAGGGAGTTCATATTAAGTTATAAGTTCTGATGTTTACTACCAACTAAAAAGAATTGGGATAGTAAAACTTATTTCACTCTTGTTGCATCAATTTCTCAGTATTGATGAGCAACAGTAGGTGAGCACATTCTAAATTAACCAAGTTGGGGGAGGGATTGATGTAAGAAGTTTAATAATTAATAGCAATGGGAAGAACAAAATACACATGACACAAGGAAGGATAAGTGAAAACATTAGAAACAAAAGCAACTAACAAAAAAGTAAAATTCAAAGAATGACACAGAAATTTAAACATCTACAACAAAAAGATGGCACAAGGCAATGCTTCATTCTTTAACTTTTTTATGGACAAGGCAGGCAGACTTATTTTCAATGGTAGTTTGGTGAAAATTAAGGTGACTCTGAAATGGATCTCAGCTTTCCATGACCAAACACACCGACTTGAGATAGGTGGGGGAGGGGGAAGGGTCTAGATCAAAGACTCGCAAAGTATCTCATCAATGTTCAACTGGGCTCATGATGAGTGAATATAATGTCTACATCTGATAGAGTAACATATTATGGGATACATGGAATCCATGAATGGTTGGAAATAGGCCCAAATCAGTGTAATACAGTTATCATTGGTCAATGATGTGTTTAAGCAGACCATTTATTTATTTCCAGTAAATGGCAATTTCCTGTTTTTTTTTTCCAAAATAGACAGCACAGTCAGGTAACAATGCTATCACAAGGCAGTAGTAAAAGTGTCAATAAATAATAACAATAAGTACATTTGAATTCCCAAAATATCTGGTAATAGAGTATAAAAAGCTGTTGTGTTAATTCTTGTCAGAAATTCCTGCTTAATTCAATAAATGAATGCTTATTGACTTACTGATCTGCAGTGCATTTTCAGTTTTATAAAAGAAATGTTACCTTTCCATACAGAAGATTACTGATGAATAATTTGATGTTTATTAATCCATTCTCATTAAGAAATGGTAGCAGAACACGTTTCCATTCATTATCAGTCATTTTAATTCCATAGGTGGTCAGCAAATTTTGTAGATTAGCAGCAGGAACTAGATCACCTTTTTGCATGCCCAAATCTGAAATAGCCTAAAAGAAGATTTTTCAACATTATTCAAAAAATTTAACAAGACTAGTGCATAGTAAATATTATTATTAACTGGTATACAATCAAAACCTTTTCAAAAATTGTGTATATTGTGTTGTAGCATACCTACGGATGATAATGGGTATGTCCCCATTCACATGAATACAGTAGTAAATACTGTATGTTGGTCTGCAGTTGGAGATTCATCGTGGAATTCACTTGACTCACTTCTAGTAGTTGACTGCTTCTTCTACTCACTGCTGGTGAATCTTATATGTGCTTTTTTCTCCGAAGTATTATCATTCATTACCAACCATTGTGTGATTATTCTATTCAGTAACCTTCCTTAGGTTTCAACATAGTGAAATAGATGTGCAGGTAGGGTAACCAATTTAAGAAAAGAAAAATATTTAATTCCAAACCAGGGAGAAGACAATATAAAACCACTCCACTATCTTTCCCAAAAAAGTATGGCAGTTCACAGATAATAAAGAAAAATCAATGTGGAGAGCCACAATCACCTATATCCTATGTATAAGTAACATGTCTATTAATCAGTTAACATCAATTAACCCAGTACAAAAATCTAGTCTAAAACAAATATCTATTGCCTATGAATATAGAAAATTAAATCAAAATACTATTTATTGTCAATATTTTTAATTACTTGAGATCCTATCAAGATTTATTATCAGTGGGTACAATCATAACAATATGAGATATTCAGATGACAGAGTTGATGGCAGATACACAAGGAAAACTACAGGACCTACAAGACAAAGTAATAAAGGAAAGTGAGAAGAAAAGAGTAACCATCAATTGGAAGAAGATGGAAAGTTTGGTTGTGAGCCAGAGAAAAAGACCAAGAGGCAGATGGTACTGTGTTTATAGCAGAAACAGAAAGAAAACTACAGAACCTTCAAGACAAGGTAGTAAAGGAAAGAAAGAAGAAAGGATTAACCATCAATTGGAAGAAAATAGAAAGTTTGGCTGCCAGCAAGTGAAAAAAACCAAGAGGCAAAAACAGATCAATAGAAAACTGTAGGCAACAGAGATGTGGTCTTACACATGGATGCTGAGAATACAAGGATATATCAGCATAAGCAACAATGAAGTCTTGAAAATGAGAACAAAAAAGAAGACACTTATACTTAGAATTAAAAAGGTACAGCTGAAATTTCTTGGACACATAATATGGAAGGGGGACTTGAAGAATTTGATACAAGATATATCAAAGGCAGAAGGAACAAGAGGAGGCAGCAGATCACTGTCCTGATGGTGGAATGAGGAGGGTTGATGCAGAAAAGACAATTGCTGCTAAGAGCTACAAGAGATAGGAAGTTGTGGAGAGCCATGGTCGCCCATAAAAATAAATAGATCTTTTTTTTGCAGTTCATTTTCCATGCTTAAGGCTGAATGATGGATCTCTAATTTATAAATGTTGTGTTGTGTTATCTGAATGTCAGAAAATAAACATTTTTGTGCATGCTCTGCTCTAGAGTAGTAGCTAGTAAGCTTGCATAACAGACAATTATTACTGTAGTGGGCTTATTCTTCACTGGGTAACTCACATTAAGCTAAGGCTAATAAACACTTAAATAATTATATGAGAGAATGCCAAAAAATTCTTGGCCCAACCCACTTCTCAATGATTTACCTTTCTACACTTCAATCATGCTAAGATGCATGAATATATATATATATATATATATATATATATAATCATAAATTGTCCTACAGAAAGAAATTAAAAGACACACAAAACAGCAAGCAGTAAGTGAAAGGGGGTGAATAAAAAAAGTTCTTATTTGTAATGTCTCTAAATAAAATTCAGTACATCCCTGTTTGCATGTCTTATCTTCCTATTTAGGACACAAAGGAAATTGTGCTGTCAGCTGAGATCAGCCAAATTGTGTCTAGCTACTATATCTGTCTCCATTTTGGTCTAAGTAGAAAGTGATGATCACCACCAATGGGCTGTTGTTTGATATCTCAAGTGTTTCTTTTGACATCTGTAAATCCATCTTGTCAAAAAGGGAGATAATCACCTTCTAAATACCTATATCAGTTTTTACCTTTTATATAATGGTCCAGGTGTAAGCTGTTCTGGATTAATTGCTCCTTCCTGGCACAGTGCAGTTTAAATGATCTGGTAAATTTTGCAAGGAATTTGTAATAGCATTAAACCTTACGATGTTACAATAAAAGAATGAAAACATAGATAATATGAAATAAATATATATGAGGAGGATCACTAAATCCCTAACTTAATGAATAGTTATGGGTTGAATTCTGATGTAAAAGATTCACGATGAAAGGTTTTTAGCTATGTGATTAATATTTCAAGAATGCGATTATGTTGAATAATAGTTTTTGTATAACAATTTTTTTCATCATTAGGCTATGGACTTATTGATGTATATACAGAGATATTTATTTACTGACTAGTCCAGTTAAATACACCAAATTATGCTAATACATTTGAGAATAGAAGAAAAGCCAAAAGTTACTTACTTTCCATATTTCAAGAGGCATTCTAAGGAGGCTTTCTCTTAAGTATTGTTCTGGGTTCAAGGGTACACGGCTATCTCCAGCCATTATATCTGGTGCATAATCTAACCTAAAATTATTAGAAAAAAAAATTAATAGCACAGTCAGTAAATATCTTACATTTTAGTTAATGAACACTAGTATAGTATAAAAAGACATGTTGAAATTTACTATTGAAAAAGGAACAGGTGTTTCTTTTTCAATAGTAATTATCAATCTGAGTTTTGTACCATTAAGAAACTGAGCTCCGAGTCATCTTGGAATGTTTCAATAAATAATTCCATTTCTTTTCAGGTGTTTATTAAGCTAATTGATTTGTAGATTAATTTTCAGGTGTTAACTAAGCTTATCAGTTCGTGGAATAATTTCCAGCAGTTAATTATGTTGATCAGCTCCTGGAATAATTTCCAGCAGTTAATTATATTGATCAGCTTCTGGAATAATTTCCAGCAGTTAATTATGTTGATCAGCTTCTGGAATAATTTCTGTGTGTTAATTAATCTAATCAGTTTATAGAATAATTTCCAGGTGTTAATTAAGTTAATCAGTTTATAGAATAATTTCCAGGTGATAAGCTAATTATTTAGTGAATTAATTATCAGAAATTTCCATTTGTAATCAATTTTATGAATGTATCTTTTAATTAAGTAAAATAGGGTCTAATCAAAATAAAATATGGTCTAATCTAAGTAAAATAAATGTAAGTAAAATATGGTGTAATGACATTAAACCAGTGCTCAATATTATCATATAGCAAACTGTTGATAGTATGTGTCTCAAACTAGATTTTATTGAATGTCTTTATGAGTACAACTGAATAAAAGCTAACTTAGATATGCTATTTAAATAAAAATAGCAATTAATTCATATTTTTACTCAGTCAATGATGATAATTAGATGTAATTTATTAGCATCTTTATTTTACAGCCATTTTAGTTGTAATAGAATCTGCATGAAGGGATTATCAAGTATTTATTAAAAATCTGCCACCAGATGGCACTAGGTGACTAATAGAGATATGCCTTAAATAATATATGACTGATAGACATACACCTTAAATGACTAACAGAGATACAGTTTAAATGACTGATAGGGATACACCTTAAATAATAATAAACTTTAGTTGCAGTATTGTCAAGAATGGTTCACCTGCTAAAATAAACAAGAGAATAAATGAATGGTGGCCTGTCTCAAGGTTTAAAATATATAATAATGAACAGTTTTCTTAGTTTCATGTTGTTATAATAACTATCTTGCCTGTTTGCTATTGTGGCATGTGGGGGCTTCCTTACTTTGCTCAGCTCAGCGGTAGCAGCAATGGAAGTAATCAGCAGGGAACAACCGGAAGTCCCAGAACTCATAAAAATGTTGACCAAGCCCTATTCAGTCTCTCTTTTTTCCACTTTTTTTCTACCTTCAAGACCAGCTCGAACTACTCACAACTGCTGCTGCAGTAGACATGTGGTCTGTCCTGGCAGCTTGACCTGAGATTTCTTGTTTTTTTTTGTGGGAAACAAGCCAAGAAATCTCTCTTCAAGACACCTACTAAAAGGAAAAAATACTCACAACCCTTACTGTAGAAGGCCCATACCAGTCTCAGCAGTTTGACAGTTAGATTTCTTGTACTTTGTGGGAATAGGCAAAGAAATCTCTCTCTACATAAGGAACGAGCTCTGTTAACTGGGAAACCCAACTCTTTTCCCTACAAAATACCACTATTTTGCACTTTCTTTCAACCACAAACAAAAGATGTTACACAGTTATTTTTAACCTTGGGTTTGTTCATTCCATTCTATACACTGCCAAGCGCATGCATGCACGCACACACAACCAAGAAAAACCCTAAATTAAAGCTAATGGACATATAAAATTAAAAGGTGTATCATGTCTTATGTTTGACACAGAGATAACCTAACAAGTGGCACATGTGTTATACTAATTTTCTATTGTGTGAACAGCATAATATAATTAACCTGTAAAGTTAATTTCCAACACATCTCTAAAACTTTGTACCACTAAGAAATTGTTCAATGAACTCTTTTAGTCATCTTGGAATGTTTTAATAAATAATTTAATTTTTTTTCAGGTGTTAATTAAGCTAATCAGCTTGTGGAATAATTTCCAAGTATTAATTAACAGTTATTACATTATGCAGAGTGCACAGATACTAGACTGATCCTAGGCAAAGACTGAGAAAACAACATTTTCAACCTCAGCATAGTGCAAATATATTTAAATCCTAGACAGAATTGCCAATCCATACATAAACAGTCCTGTCATTTTTTGTGGGTACTATGCTAGTAGTTACACATTTCCCAGATTCACAAGATAAATTGCCAGGATTTCAAATATTGATTTTCAAAATAGCAAGGTCATCTACACATGAAAGATTGGAGCTATATAATCTTCTTGCCTAATATTTCTTCTTATATGACTTTGTGCTATTCTAAATTTGAAGAATAAATAAATGATATTAAACCTCAATTTCCTTCTTGGATTGATTGATTAACTCAATCTTTAGAGCTTATCAGCCCTTTGTGTGTTATTTAAAGCTGAAACATATTTTGGATAATAGGAAGTCATTTATAGTATCTGGTGTTTGTAAGCAATCCGCCATCTAAGTACTACTTCTCAGAACAAAACATGTCATTCATTTGTCTATATATATATATATATATATATATATATATACATATATCAGTCCTAACTGTCTCTTTCTGAATCATGACACTGGGAAGCATATTTGTTTTGTCTTGATAATTTAGATATTTAAACCTTGAGCCTTGTATATTATTACAATTCAGGTAGGTGTCTATTTTTTGGTCTTTTCTTCTTAATTTATGTTTCTCACCCCCCCCCCAGTTTTTGTTTTATTTGTTATTAGGTTTTCATTTTATTAGTTTTTTCTTTGGTCAACTGGCAAACTTTATGTTAGTTTTAGCAATACTTTGGGTTTTTGTGGTGTGTGTATATATATATATATATATATATATATATATATATCCAGGTATGGGATTAAAAACAAAACAAAAAAAAAGTGAGGGTATTCTGTTTTTGAAATTTAAAGATAATTATTTACTCGACAGTTATGTACCATCACCTGAGGAGGCACAACTTTAGTGCTGAAACATGAAAGCTATTGTGCAGCGATTTTTAACATTTTTTGCTTTAATCTCATGTAATAAATAATATATGTGTGTGTGGATATATATATATATATATATATATATATATATATATATATATATATATATATATATATTTTTTAATCAACACTATTCTTAGCAAGTCTGTCATATGGTGTGTTTCTAGATTGAGTTTGTTTCTTATAGATTTTTTTCTGGTGCTCACAACCATATTTAGAGATTTTTATGATGGCTGATAAAATAAAGCAGAGAGTATGCAAATCAGTCGAAATTTTATTTTCTGTTGCAGAAAAACAACTGCTGAGATTGTTTTAATGCTCTGAGAAGCGTTCAAGAAAAAATTTTCCTACTCAATCAATGAAGATCCTTTCTGGAATAGCGATAAGATAATCTGAGGTGACAGGTTTGTCTTGGAAGGAAGTGGGGTCATGCCAGGAAACATTAACAAAAGATTTCAGAATAAAATCTGTTTCTGAAAAAAATCATGCTTCATTTGTTTACAGAGGATTAAAAAAAAAAAAAAAAAAAAAAAAATATCAACCACTTCAATATGTGCAATGATTTGATTGAACAGCTTCTTTCCAAAGTTGTTACAGATGAGTCTTGGTACTACTGTTTGAATCCAGAAAGGAAACAAAAACCAAACCAATAGAAATCACCAAATTCACCAATATAATTACAGTTATTTTTAGTTGTTCTTGTCGTTATATATATATATATATATATATATATATATATATATATATATATATATGTATATATATACTAGCAGCATGGCCCAGTGTTGCCTGTGCTTAATTCAAAAATCGTACAACTCATACAGCAATCGCTATCACTTGACTTAAAATAAAATATTTTTGCCCTTCCTTGCCTTTAAAGGAGTGCCCTTTGCCGTGCTGATATTGCTACATGCCTTACTTCTTGCCTATCTCACACTGCAAATTTTTTCTAAGCTCTATACTAAACATTTAATCTGTTATGAAAAAAGAACTAAACAAAAGGAACACAAAACAATCAGCTTTAAAAAAGGACTCATAACTGGAAAAACCGAATGAAAAAAGAATGTTAACAACAAATACTTTTTCACACCCAATCCAGTTCTGCAGAATCAGAATCAACATTGAGTTTAAGCAAGCGATTGAGCCAATTGGAGTAAAGTGCCATGCAGATATAAATTTTTCCCACTTGTGACAAATGTAGCTATCGATTTTTTGCATGCTAGCATGCTAGTTGACATTTGTGTCAGTCAGCTGTTGGCTCTCACGCTGGCCAATAGAATCTTCCTGCCTATTCATGGCAGCTAGGTATAGACTCTCACTCTGGCCAGTAGAAAATTGCTGCAAACTACATGAAAACTGCCGTAGAAGCATGAAAAAAATCGATTATTTCCACTATCTATGGGAGTTGGGAAATGCAAAGTCAGTATTGGCCTTACCACTAACTTGGGACATGTGCATGTAAATTTTGGTGCAAATCAGTTGAAAATTATGGCCGTGCATGTGTTACACACACACATCCTGCCTTTTATAGATAGAGATATATGTGTATATATATATATATATATATATATATATATATATATATATATTATAATAAAAAGAAAGAACAGTAAAATATATAATCCCATGTTCTTATTGATATTTTTATTTTTACAAAAGAGTGCTTAATGTAAATTTACAGAGCATAAATATTATAAATTAACTGATTTAAAATATGGTTTCTTCACTACATGAGAATTACCATGTTTCAAAAACCAAAGCTAAAAACTTCAAATTTAATTATATAGTTAAATTAAAAGCATTAGTTCTGTTTCATCTTCAAGCGAATTTTGGAATGTTCCAAAATTCGCTTGTTTGTGCAAACCCAGTTCAATGAAGTTCTAATGGGCGAAACACTTCACAGAAAAATTTTTTCAACTTTGTCATACATCTTTCCTCTATACATACACACTATATATATATATATACATACATACATATACATACATACATAGATATATATACATACATATACATACATATATATATACATACATATATATATATATTATGTAGCATGTTGGAATCATATTTTAAATAAATAATATATATATATATATATATATATATATATATATATATATATATACATACATACATACCTACATATACACATACATACTTATTATTTACTTTATTTATTTATCTGGATTAATTTATTTCATTTGTTTTTGCTTATTTATTTTTATTTTATTCATTCTTTTCAGTTTTTGATTTTTAAGTAATTTAGTAAAAATTTGTCTTTGTGTTTGCATTTTGAGATGAGTTCTGATCATTTACTTAGTAGTTTGTTTTGGTCTGGGTTAGTAATTATAGTTATATTTTCTAGATGTCACTTTCAATCTAAGAAAAGGTACATATAAACCTTACAGAAAACCCAATGATAAACCACTGTATATACACACATCTTCCAATTACCTGCTATCTATAATCAAGCAGATAGCAAAATCAATTAACCACAGGCTTTCCGACAATTTCTTCCAATGAAACCATATTCAATGAATCTAAGAAAGATTATGAAACAGCCCTTATGTTAATGAACGAATTTCAACCTGGCATCTCTGTGTCTTTTCAATAGCAGTGGAGTTTTCCAAGGGGAGAGTGATTTTAGATTTTCCTAGGAATTTTATTGCTTATTATCCATTTAGTGATACTGATTACTGATGAAACAAATCATCCAGTAACTCTTGATGAGTAACCATTGGATTTTGTTTAATTTGACGTATTAATGTCCCGAAGATCTTGAAGAAATTTTCTGTGGAGCACCTATTCTTCTTTGGTTTTCAACAGTTTTGAATTTTTTATATCTTGCAATGAATGAACTGATGGTAGTAAATGGAATATTCAGATTGTCTGAGATTTTCCTCTAACTTTTACCTTCTTTCCAGAGTTTAACAATCAGTTCTTTTTGTGAATTTGTCAGTTCTTTACCTCTTGCCATCATGATAATCTTCTTGCACGAATATCAATTACAAAATGTTCTGTTGATATTTTTAGGCTAAAAATAACTACTGATAACATTATTGGAACATTCTAGAATATTCCATTTGAATAATCTAGAGTATTAAAGCAATTTAAAAGTTTTAAAATCTGAAATTTGCATTATACAAATATTTTTTCATACATTAAAAGGGATAAATAAGATTTATTTGTATTAAATCAAAAATTTTCTGTTTTTTATGCATATTTAGTTATTATGCATCTATGCAACTTAATTCCCCAGACTGCAAACCCCTTGTAGGGCACAGTTGAGCAAGAGACCAACAAGACTCCTTGTCACACCAAAGATAAACTGAAGGCAAGGATTATGGCAGCATTCACCAATTTAAACAAGGAGATTGTCCAGAAGAGTTGCAAGAGATTCTGAAGTCATCTGGAGGCTGTGGTTGATGGCAATGGTGTTTTTATTGAATAAGTTTACTCTTTAGTATTTCAAGATATTTTTGTGTAATTTTGGTAAATATATCTGTTAAAATGAGATGTCAATGTTATTTTCATTTTTGCACAATTTAGACATCAGTTTATATATCACACTGTACACGTGTATGTGTGTGTGTGTGTGTATATATATATATATATATATATATATATAGTTTTAAGGTATGTTATATTTATGGGATAAAGTCCTCAATATCAGAGATAGAGCTCAATCATCAGGCCTGATGATTGCAGTTAGCATGAAACAGTCTGTCACCTCTGAGTGTTGACTTCAGTGTTTATATATATATATATATATATATATATATATATATATATATATATATATATATATATATATATATATATATTATTTATTTATTATAATTTTATCATATAGACAAAAACCATTTTACTCACTACAAAGATGCAACTTCGTTTCAGTGCATTTCAACTGCACTTCAACAGATGAGAACCAAAAATATATGATAATATTATAATAAATAAATAATTATCGCTCTACTATCAGTATCGAGCCCTCTTTTGGATTAATGCTGTGAACGTTAGAATTTGTATATTACTTTCGTTCTCATCACATTGTGTGTGTGTGTATATATATATATATATATATATATATATATATATATATATATATATATATATATGCAATGTGTAAAAAAAAAAAACTTTCAAAACAGTAGAGAAATAAGACATTTTAGCATGCTTCTGATTAAGATTTTATGCAACAGTAAGCTTGACTTGATATAAAACATGCCTAATGCCATATTGGTAATCATTGAATAACAGGTGCTAAAGTGGATATGTGTATAGTGCCCTTGTTTTTACTGAAAGTTGAACAATGAAAGATATTGAATACCAATCTGTCCATGGGAAGGATATGTTGAGTTGTTCTATATACAATGTCATAGGTGTGTGTATGCCTACGTGTGCGTGCATATGTTGATAATTGAAGTGAAGAATACGAACAGAAAACTTTGTTTACCCATAAGTGTTTTCCTCGTTCATATTTATATATGGTTCTTTGTCCATAAGTTTCCATATAAGAACATATTTAGAAGATCCTGTTTCAGTGCTTCCTTTGTAGACCTCTTCCAAACCACATCTTTCCAAGAACTCTTCATAAGTGATATAACATTTGTATTCAGGATCACATCTGTAGAATAAAATATTCTTTTATTTGAATGAATATATGTTTATATATCAATATCATTTGCCTATAGTTGTATAAAATGACAAAATATCTTTATAGTAATTACATATTTTACAAGTATGAATATAAAACAAATACAGGAGGCTAAAAAAATGAAGCCCTTTAGCAATATGCACTGTATAGAGAATTTTTCCATAAAGTGTCTATTTTGATTATCTCAAGAACTGATTGTCTAGTTTTGTTGTAACTAATCAACCTATCAGAAACAAGCTAGACAGACACTCCCTTATAGGGTTACTCACTCAACAGTGAGATGTCATTGAGTGAGCTTGTGTATCATATGACTGACATTTAAAAGAATATCTTGTGCAGGGATTTTTTGGTAAACTATTACATCATCTAGGACTTGTAACTTTTCTCTACAGTTTGTGATATCTGGCTTTTTTCCAAAGTTAAAATCACTGGTAACAATATTTCAGACCATGGATAGGATTAATCTTTTTTTCTTTTTCAGGCAATTATTCACTCAGTACAGGGCCTAAGAGCCACTTAAGATAGAGGGTTATCAAATGTGGTTCTTAAAAATTGTAGATTATGAGGATATGTACAATAGATAACGGCTGACTTGACTTGAGATTGCAATGGTAAGGGAATCATCTTCTCTGGAGTCTGTTCCATAAAGTAGCTGCTCTTGGAAAGAAGCTATTTAAATGGAACTTCTTTCTTACAAATGGAATATGGAGAGAATGGGGATGGTTCACCACTGCATTCAGGTCTTTGCTGTAAAGATCTAAACAGGTGGAAGTGGGAAATATAGCTCATCAAAACATTTTCCATGGAAATAGAAAAAGAGAGCCAGCAATAGGCTTGCATCTGTGGGAAAGATGTTGTAGGATGGAAAATAATTAATCACCTACAAGGCCATGTAAACACTTTTGAACTGTTGAGATATGGTGGCAATAGTTTATTTTTGAACTTATGTGACTCTTGTAAAAGATAAAGTATGGCAGGTGGAGTCAGGTATTTTTTAGAGTAGTATAAGGAGCTGACCATTTTTCCAGAGTCTTTAGCAATGGATTATATGTTCCACTAGAGGTCTGGGGTAAACTTGAGTCCCAATAGATGCTCAAAGCAAGGAGCCTCTTTGAGAGTGCAACAATTTGTCATGACTAGTGAGAATTCAGGGTCAGTTTGGTGATGAGAAATTACTAGCTTGGTATTTGAGGTATTGAAAATTACAAGCCAATTCTTCTACCATTGGGCTGTTAGATCTCAGTCAGATGAGAGATCAGCTGCCATTAATAAAAAGCAAGTAGAGAGAAGGTAATGAGCTTCATAACCTTGTGAAGTCTGGCCATTGACAATGACCTTCAAGGACCTACCTGATAGGAAGGACTTCATGATTTCAAGGACTCTTCCAGAGATTCTATAGCTGGAGAGTTTGTGCAACAACCCCCAATGCCACACCTTGTCAAAGGCCTTTGAAATATTTAAGGCAGTTGCTCTTGTGTTAAATTTATTATCAATCATTTCTTGCATTATAGCAGTTAGGACATCAGCAGTGAACCTAAAAGAGTGAAATCCATACAGCTTGTTACTCAAGAGGTTGTTTCAGTTGAAGTGATCAACAAACTTCTTGTTGATCATAACCACAAAGAGTTTTGCTGATGATGCAAAGGAGGTTAATAAGTCAATAATTAGATGGGAATGAGTGTTCCACTGCATTCTTGAAGACAGGGCAGACAGCTGACACTTCCATAGACTTTGGAAACATTTCTCCTTGAAGCAGCAGTTAAACAATTTTGACAAGATTGGTAATAATTCCTGGGTAAGGTTCTTAAGAACAACCACCAAGATTTTATCTGGGCCAGTAGCCTTCACAGAGTCTAGGCTTTTGATGAGTCTGGAAACTTCCTATGCTGTGATAGGGATATCACAAAGTTTGTGCTCTGTGAGGGGGTAGTTTGTTGTTTTACATGAAATTAGAGGCAAAGTTCATTGCAATAATGATGAAATAATTTAAGAGCTATTTATAATAGTAAAGTACTGACAGCTGTTAGTTTCTATTGAGAATTTTATTAGAATTTTGATTAAGAACACAAGACAGCTAATAGTAATTGGAGTTAGCTCTTCCTTAATTCCCAAATTGTCACTTTTCGTCTTGCTCTCTTTCCTTCAGGCCTCGTGATGCATCCCACCTCGTGTGGAGGTAAGATAAATCCTCTTTTTCATTTCTTCATTTCAGCAACTACAATGTAAGCTCTCTTGGGAGATAGCATTTCCCACTTGTGGGAAGACACCATGAACATTATACACACATACACGTACATACGAACATTCACCAAAAAACAAACACAAATGTTACACACACACACAAATGTTATTGTCCATTGTAAAATTGTTTTGTTTAATACATATATTTGTTTATATATATATATATATATATATATATATATATATATATATCAGTCTTGTTTGTCTTCTTTATCTTCAGTTGGACTTAATTCAAGTCCGCCATTTTCTTGTAGGTGGACATTCTTCTAGCAGGAAAAGTAAAAGTAAACGCACATGTTTTCTTTTCATCTTCACCCCCGGTCCTCTACAATGGACTAAGTATTTGAAATCTCAAAGGGAGTACTTTGAAATGAACTAGGGCACTATTGCCCAAGGTAAGCCATTCTTGCTGTTAATATTATATGACTGGCTACTTTCCAGACAAACCTGATAAATAACAATATTTACTTGGTTGTTTTGCTTTATCTCACCTTAATGTACAACACAAAATAAGAGCACTACTGGGGTTAACTGATATACACATGAAAAATAGGGGACAATTTGGTGCAGTGAATAAATTTTGTAGATTAGCATTCATTGGAACTTCCTCTACTATCCACATTTGTTACACTTGAAAAATATTGATTTTTTTTTTTTATCATTTTAAAAATGGCCCCTCTTTATAATATTAGTATGGTGTCAAATCAATTCCTGATTTTTAAAGAGTTATCTGTATTTTTATTTATGTTGTCCTTTTTCCCAAATCAGGATTTTCTTTATCTTTAAGTAAATGTTTTACAAATATTTGAAATTTTTTAAACTTAAAATTTTTTTTCTTTTCAAAGCACTTGCACAAAAATAGGAAGATAATAATTATTTATCTAAAAAACAAAAAAAAAATGTCAGGGATCAGTTTTACACTGTATTTATATTATGAACACTACTGCTGTTTAAAATGATAAAAACTCAATATTTTTTATTTCTGACAAATGCTGTGGACTAAAGAATATTAATCTTAAAGAAATTATTCCCCCAAACATTTTCCATATTTTTTTTTTACAAGTGTACAATTTGACCACAGTAAAGTCAAAATAAGGATCAACATTTTACAACTGAACTTTGTGTCTAGAATTGAAATAGTTAACTTACTGCCTCCACAAAATGTTGAATTCATTTTCATTCATAGAAATATTAAAGGCCTTGAGAAAATTTTTTAATGTAGACATGGTAAGGATATCTTTACCAGCTTTTGAAAATGTCAAATAGCCCTGAAAGATAAATAAAAACAAAAGTTTATATAAATCAATAAATCTATATTGTATCAAGAAGAAATTCTCCAGCCAAGACAAATTTCTAATGATGCCAGTTTTCTTAGAAACAGCCCACGACTTGCTGAAATAGGACAATTATGTATTATTAGAGGAACAATGCAATTTGGTGAATTGTTACATCAGCTTAACTAAAATAGCTTCTGTTAGTGGAAGTAATTCTACTGAAATTTGTTTCCAAAACTGTTTGTTTATTCTTGCAGACTTCCTCTGGTGCATAATGCCACAAGTATATTAAATAATACTGCTGAAGTTTCCATATCATGTGAATTTTTACAAGATCAGATTGTTATTCTGATGTCTAAGATGGATTCCCTTACAGAGCTAAAGAACTCCAACTGCATTATTATTTATCTATAGCTGTAAGGAGAAATGGATTCATGCCTTTCCCAAGAGTATTAATGTAAAGTGAAAAAAAACTGTCCCAGCCAGAGTTTGAACCCTGTTTGCTGATTCTTTTCTCCATGTTAATCAATAGGCTGTTTCTTTCTAAAGAGCTTATAAAATTTTAGAAAAAATAATGTTAAAAAATATTTTCTTTCATTCACTTTTGCTCTTTCTTATTTTCCTTCCATTTTGTTTTCAAAATTTTTTGATAAAATCTTTTTTTATTTAAATTCACTATTCAGTTACTAAATTATTTTTCTTGCTATTCAATGATGTTACTTTTTAGATAAATTGTGTATTAAATTATAAATCAATTTTGGTTGTGATTTGAGGAAATTTTCAATATCTTGAAATTGTTGGAACCGACTTTCAAGCAAGGAATATTACACAAAATGAAACAAATGATAATTTACAGATGACTGATTTGAAGAATACACCCTCACCCTTATATGAAAGAAGTCCTTAATTTTGCTTCATACTTACTGCAGTACATTTGCAGAGGGAGAATACCCATTTTCATGGCAGAAACATCCCCCAAAAACTACCTTGCCTAGAAAAAGGCTTCTTGCAATGCATTATTCAAACAAGTTAATCAATTTACTTCTCTTCTTTTCTTGTAAGTTCATGTATACTTTGTGCTGCACTTTCTTTCAAAAGTTCTCCCATTTTAAGCTGTGGGATCTTGAGTTCAAAACCTTCTTTCTTCTAAACTTTACAATTACTTCTGTGATAAATTCTTATACCTACTGTATCATTGAAATACATTTCAGGAATTCATTTTTGAGCTTCTGCTATACTTTACATAAAGAATAAATAAATCTCTTTTCTTAGAATGTTTATGCGCAAGCATGTAAAGAACAACATATAATCTTAAGACACTTCTAAGATTTTCTTAATATTGTACAAAATAAAATGCTGGGAACTTTTACATCAAACAAACAAATTGATCTTGTGCTTGTTTTGAATGCATTAGTAAGCATGTTTTTTTCTGTATCAGTTTTTTTTATAACAAGTTATATTCATTGATAGAAAATAAAATTACAATGTCCTACATATCTGATTTTGACCAGGGTACAGTATATGCATGTAAGTAAGAGATATTCTGAGCTTTAGATGGGGATGCTGTTGTAGTAAAGAAAAGACTGTCAACTGATAGTAGCAACTGCAATAGATTTCTTCTGTTTCTCGTCTGCAACACTTATAGCCCAATCGCATTTCAAACGATAGTCCGACGTAACAGTCCAACACACAACGTAGAAACAACAAAATGAGGTCACACATCCAACCTTCAATTCTCACCAACAACAATGCGTGTTCGTTCCACCAAGCTCAAAAAAATCATCTCCTTTTATAAGCGAAAAATGACGACTTCTGTTCACCGAGAGAATTTTCTGATTGGTCATGCCATTTAGGGGAGAGAAGAACATTAGCATAGCTTCTAGTCATTGATGTAGATTTTTGCTAACTACTTTTTGGTAATTTTTCTTCGGCAGATCACACACAAAACACAAACTTTTTTTCAGGGTAACTGATTATCTCTTTCACTACAGATGCATACTTCATTAAGTGAAAGAGTTCAATGAAAGTAAGTGCTATGATATAGATATACACACACACATTTTCCTTTTTCAATTAGAGGAGTTGGGTAATGAGTCTTTGACAGAATGGATGATCATTTAAGAGAATTTCTCTGCATGCTGGATATATGTCAGTAGTGTTTTGATATTGGCATCAGTAATCAATTCCTACACATATAGACCAAATTCTGGACAATCAAGTAGTACAGATTCTTACCAAGATTAATGCATCGTAAGTTTGGCAGTGGCTGATCACACATCATCGAGAGCTCACATCAGAGCAAATATGACCCTAGGAGTGCCAACATGGACCATTAGGAATTGTTTACTTACAGAAGGTCACAATGACTGGGAATTGAATGACAATCAGTTATGTTCTGTGAGTTCCACCTTCATGTGTACAATAGCTGGCATCATTATTTGGGGTGGAGGTAAAAAATTATGACATCTGCTTGCTTTTGATGTTTGAGAAATTAATGTTGAAAAGCTGCTATACATGCAGCATAAAGGCAATAATGCACACACATAATGCTTGTACTATCCAACATAATCTGCAAAATGTTTGACAGATTCTCTTTGTGGTACTATCACCAGACCTGTCAGCTATTGGACATTTGAGACATGATGGGACAACATCTGACTTGTTCAATTAGCCCACCTACAACTCTTGTTGTACTACATTAACAAGTGCAAAAAACATAGAATGGTATTCATCACCTGTATGATCATATGCACAAAAGAATAAAGGTTTGTGTTAATACCCAAGGAGGATATAAAGTGTATTATAAGGGGTTTGAGTATTGGTGATACACCCTTTATTTTAGACCAAATGCATAATATTGAACTGTACATTTGTTTACTGTGATACAACTAAATGTCCTGTACATTTAAACTTATGTAAAACGAAATACATATTCATGGTGTTGTGCTTTTATTTTCCATTAGTTGTAAAAACTTTTATCCTCAAATAGATTACATATCTTATCTCTCATAAATGTCTTTGCATATTTTATTTCTCAGTTCCAAGGCCTTTGTCAGATCTAATTCTTATTATATTATAGGTAGTGTTTTTGGCTAATATGAATACCTTGTATGTAATACTGTTTATCAATCTGGTCACACTGACATTTACAACTGTTACAATGTACCTATCATGCATGAGCATCTACCAGGATAAGCTAAGATTTTTATATATATATATATAGCGGCACAGTGGAGTAGTGGATAGCAGCTTGCATTGAGGAATTGGAGATCCGAGTTCGAATTCCAGTTAGATCCATTACATTCACTTATTTGCTAATACACTTGGGAAAAATATGAATGCTTTTCTTCTCCCTCCAGCTATGGGTAAATAGCAGGACAGATTGAATTTAAAACCTGCAGAGGGTCATTTAGGGACCTTGTGGCATGTAGTGCATCAGGTCTCTGTATTTGGCCTTTCAAAAAGTGTGGTTGGTTCGGCACAAAGTCTTCACCACTATAATCAAACCATATGTAATGGTGTCTGGATGTCAATTCTTAGGAACTGAGCCACTTGACCCTCATACATTGAATACAATGGGAAAGTCCACTATATATATATATGTATATAACAATAGTTAATAAAAATGAACATGCTACTGACCCTGTCTAAATGATTGAATTTCTCTGTATCCTTGGAAACAAGGAATTATGAATTATATGTGCATTTAAAACTCAGTAAATTTAAAAATAAGTTATTCCAAAATTTGCTTGAAGATGAAACAGAACTATTTCTTTTAATTTAATTATATAATTAAATTTGAAGTTTTTAGCTTTGGTTTTTAACACATGGTAATTCCTGTGTAGCGAAGAAACCATATTTTAAATCAGTTAATATATATATATATATATATATATATATATATATATATATATATATATATATATAATATTAATACAATAATATGAAAATCATTATATCTGTTTGATGATTGTTATTACATGAAAACTTATTACATGAAAACATGGATTTTGATATTGCATTAATAATATTATTATATTATATTTAGGCCCTATTGAATTTGGCACTGAGCCCTCAATTTATTTTATATATATGAGTGGGCATTGAAGTCAACACACAGCAGCGACAGTCTGCTTCATGCTTAAATACAGCTGAAAATGAGCAAATTAATAAAAACTTGGTGCAAGTAACATCAACATGCAAAAATAACCAAACATATAAAGAGTGAATTTCAGCCATTGGAATTATGTTCTAATCTTTTCCAAACAGTGCACCTGGATATAATGGGTCCTTTAACACCACTGCTAAACCTTGCTAGTTCTCACCTTATTGACATTTAATAACCTCAATAGAAGTATAGTATAATCAGATTAAAATTAATATGTGTAGAAAATTCTCTTTTATAAGTTACTTCCGTGTCTTGACCTAATGAACAAACATGGGAGAAAAGAATCTTTTTAGTTCCCTAGAAATTTTAACTTCAATTTCTTGGTCAGATAGTATAGAAATATAAATAAATCACAAATTATTATTTACAGTTTCTGAAATTGGTTTTATAAATGAAAAATATATATGTACCAGGTATAACAGCAAAATTGTCCAAATCATGTAACAGCATAATTCTCCATTCCACAAAATGTTTAATATCTAAAAAAACTACTAAACTATCAGGTCATCCCATAAGTTCTGTCCGAATTTTAACTTTTTGTTAAAATGAATGAAATTTAAAGAGTATTTTATAGTGTCTAATAGAGCTGAACATTATTTTTATGTTTAGATGCATTTAAACTGATCAAATTTTATTTCAGAGAACAATAAAATTAAATTTTGTTTGATTAAAACCCTGCTAACATGGAAGTACCCAAGAATCATTTGAGGCACATAATGCTTTATGAGTTCAAGAAAGGAAACTCAGCAGCCAAAGCGGCTAGAAACATTCACTCAGTTTATGGAGAGGAATGTGTGAATGAAAGAACTTGCAGAAAATGGTTTGC